TTTTGCGAAGGTCTGCTTAAGATCAGTTACGAGGTGGTCAGCCCGTTTGGACTTGACCACGATGTCATCAACATAGGCCTCAACGGTCTGCCCGATGAGGTCCGTAAAACACTTGAGCATACAACGCTGGTATGTAGCCCCAGCGTTCTTTAGACCGAATGACATTGTGACATAGTAGAACGATTCAAAGGGGGTGATGAAAGATGTCGTGAGCTGGTCGGACTCTCTCATCATGATTTAATGGTACCCGTAGTACGCATCAAGGAAGCAGAGGGTTTCGTACCCTGAGGTAGAGTTGACTATTTGGTCTATGCATGGCAAAGGAAATGGATCCTTTGGGCACACTTTGTTGAGACCCATGTAGTCAACACACATCCTCCATTTCCCACTCTTCTTTCGTATAAGAATAGGATTGGCTAACCACTCTGGGTAGTACACTTGATGAATTCGGCCACCAAAAGATTTACGATCTCCTCGCCGATGGTCCTGCGTTTCCCCTCATCGAAGCAACGTAGGCGCTATTTCACCGGCTTGGAGCCTAGGTGGATCTTCAAGGCATGCTCGATGACTTCTCTCGGAATGCCTGGCATGTCCGAGGGTTTCTACGCAAAGATGTCTTTGTTGGCGCGGAGGAAGTCGACGAGCGCGCTTTTCTATTTAGAGGAAAGCGTGGTGCTAATGCGCACCGCCTTACCCTCGGAGCTGACGGGATCTATGAGGACCTCCTTGGAGCCCTCCGCTAGCTCAAAAGACCTAGTCGACCTCTTGGGGTCGGGCGCTTCTTCGGTGACCTCCTTCCTGATGGCCACGAGCTCTTCGGAGGCGACGATTGACGCGGTGTGATCGTAGCACTCGACCTCGCACTCATAGGCATGCTGGAAGGAGGTGCCGACGGTGATGACCCCGTCGGGGCCTAGCATCTTCAGCTTGAGGTAGGTGTAGTTGGGGACGGCCATGAACTTCACGTAGCATGGTCGTCCCAGGATGGCGTGGTAAGTTTCGTGGAACCCAACCACTTTGAAGGTGAGGGTCTCTGTCCTATAGTTGGACGGACCCCCAAAGGTGACAGGCAGATCGATCTGCCCAAGCGGCATGGCCTGCTTTCTAGGCACGATGCCATGGAAAGGCACTCCGGTTGGCCGGATGCGCGCTCGGTCGACGCCCATAGCGTCGAGCGTCTTGACGTACATGATGTTGAGGCCGTTGCCTCCATCCATCAGTACCTTGGTGAGCTGCTTCATGTCGATGATCGGGTCGACCACGAGCGGGTACCTCCCTGGTTGCGGGACGCTTTCTGGGTGATCGGTCTGATCGAAGGTTATGGCGGACTCTAACCACCAGAGGAAGGTAGGCATGGTCGGTTTGGTCATATAGACCTCGCAGTGCATGACCTTCTGGTGGCGCTTGGAGTCATAGGCCGCCAACCCTCTGAAGATCATGAGGCATCCATCCGGCGTCGAAAAGCCACCATCCTTCCCCTCGGTGTCATCCATGGTCAAGTCGGGGTCCTTCTCGTGCTCCCCTTTGTTGGAGACTCTAGACAAGAACCGCTTCATGAGGCCGTAGTCCTTGTACAAATGTTTGACGGGGAAGGCATGGTTTGGTATGGCCCCTCGAGCAGCTTCTCGAAGTGGTTCAGAGTGCCCTCCATGGGCTTCCGACCACCCCTACGGTCGGCGGCGGCCACGAGCGAGCCCTCACGCCACTGCTTGTTCTTCTTCTTGGCAGGACGATTGGAGGCGCCTTCGCTGGCGTCCTCATCCCACCTTGCCTTGCCCTTGAGACGATCGCAGATCGCTCCAACTGCTTCTTCGCCCAAGGCGTGGCTAGTGGTGATGTCGAGGAGTTCCTTGGTGGTTTGCGGGCCCTAGCATCCTAGCTTGTGAACCAGGGACTCGTAGGTGGTCCCAGATAGGAAAGCTCCTATAACATCGGTGTTGACGACGTTAGGTAGCTCGTTGCATTACCAAGAGAAGTGCCGGATGTACCCACGAAGGGTTTCTCTGGCCTTCTATCGGTAGTTCTTGAGGTCCCATGGGTTCCCAGGGTGCTTGTATGTGCCTTGGGAAGTTTTCCACGAAGATCTCCTTCAGGTCCGCCCAACTTTGGATTCTGTTGGACGGAAGGTGTTCCAACCATGTTCATGCCGAATCGGCCAAGAACAATGGATGGTTGCGGATAATAAAATCATCATTATCCACACCACCGGCTTGGCAGGCAAGCCGATATTCCTCGAGCCATAGTCCGGGGTTCGTTTCCCCATAGTACTTTGGGATGTTGGTTGGTGGTCGGTACCTTGGCGAGAAGGCAGCGTTGAGGATGTGTCGGCCGAAGGCTTGAGGCCCTAGCAGGCGGGGCTTGGGCTTCGGTCCTCGCCGCTGTTGTAGTGTCCGCCACGATGAGGTTGATAGGCATGGCTAGCTCCCTCTCTCGGGTCATCATAGGTACGCCTGCGGACATCGAGGGTGTTGCATGCGTCCACGGTTGCGGCCGAGACGCTGATGCACCGGTACCACGGTGCGCTGCCTACCGCCTTGTGGCGGCTGGTGGACCGACACGTCCCTACCGGGGCGCTCTGAGGGCGTGCACTGGCTGGTGTCAAGCTCGTGTCGCTGAGACAACAAGCTCTCGGCCTGCTGCGCCACCGCACGCTCGAGCAACGTGCGAATCTCACGATGGGCCCGACGATCCTCGAGCGTCGTGGCCTCTGGAAGACCACGGAGCAAGGGCGCTGTAGCGACAATGTTCTGGCTTGCCCGAGCAAAGTGAGGGAGGGCTTCATCATCCGCGATGATCCTCTGGTTCACGTCATGGGCCATGGCGCATGTGCGCCCACCGTCTCCGTGGCGCTCGATCTCCTGATCGAGCTCCATGCGTTCCTGCTCGAGCTGGAGTCGCGCTTCCTCGAGCTCTTGGTGTCAGGCTTTCAGCTGCTCCACCCGCATGCGAGGTGGGGCCACTGTCTCCCCCTCGGCCTCATCATCGAGGTCATTCGTCAGGGTAGCCTCCTCCTCGTGGATGCTTTCGACGTGTCCCTCGGGGGTACCTATCATGAAGCATTCACGAGAGGGGTGATGGCTCCCCCTGCTGGAGTCAGAGCCAGAGGGCGACTCCGGCTCCTCTATGAGGAGGTCATGGAAAGACTCTGCGATGTGTTCGATCACCCCCACGAACTCATCGTTCGTGGGGGACGGGATCATGCGTTGCGCCACAAGGTGGCTAAGGGTCTCTACGGCGTTGTAGAGACTGAACGGGAGCATTGTCGGGGCGCTCCGGATGAGGTATTCCGCAGCGAATGGCTCTCTCCCGGTAAGCTGTGCCATGACATTGGCGAATGCGAAGGTGAGGTGGCGCAGGTCCTCTCAGGACGGTTGGGGTCCCAGAAAGACACCGAGCTGACGCTACAACCTTCCGTAGTCGAAGTCGAGGAGTTGACTGCTTCTGGGTGCGCGGGCCTCCAGCGCATGCAGCCGTAGCTCCTTGAGCATCTCGGTGATCGCATAGAGGCCGGTGGAGTGGAAGGGTTGAACGACGATGGGCACCCGTGCCAGCTCTCCCTCCGTCATGACGATGATGTCCAGGTCCCCGAAGCGCACGTTTGCTCCTCGGACCTAGCTGATGCTGTGACTAGCCATCCGTGGCCTGATGTTAATGTCGGGACGCGCAAAGGCCCCTACCCGGCGCGCCAACTATCGGTGTTTCGAGTAAACACCAGCGAATAAATTTATATTATTACGCGTCTGGACCGAATGGTGTGCTAAAAAGACACAAGGTTTATACTGGTTCGGGCAAAATGTCCCTACGTCCAGTTCGTGGTTGCTGCTCATGTTATTAGCACTAAAAAGTTCATAGTAGGGGTTACAAATGGGCAAGAGATGGACAGGTCCCAAGTCTCTGATGGAAAGATCGAATGGGTGCCGAGAGCTCGGTCATTGCTCAGCTATGTGTTCGAGGTTCGATGCTAGTGGTTCTACTGTGATGCGCTGAGATGTGCGATGTCGTGAATCGATGCCCCTTAGTGGGATGTCCTACTTTGCCTTTTATAGGCCAAGGGAGAGCACGGGTTACAGATGGGAGAGCGAGGGACATGAGAGGCAAGGGAAGTCCTTCAGGGTTGCCGGGTCTTCCTTTTCCTCCTTGCGGGCCCCGCCGACATGGCATGTGGTGACAGGGACAGCCCCACGTCGGGCGCCTGTCCGCTGACCATGACAGGGCCACATCAGGCTCCTGTCCGCTGACAATGCCATGCCCTGGCATTGTCAGTGGGCCATCACGTCCCACTCCACCCCGGTGGGCGGCGTGGCGAACCAACATGCTGATCAGCGGCCATATAGGGAGTAGCCAGCACAGTGACCACGTGTCCGTCACTGTGGACGATGTGAGTTCCCTAAAATGACATGTCGCGGGGACGAATCATGCTAAGATGTGACCGCTCCCGGCACGATTCCAGAAGTTTGACCTTGGGTCACACCTTCTGGACCGTAGTGGTTGTCGTGAGCTTCCGTAAGGATCCGTGCCTGAGGGATCGGGCGAGGCGGAGCCAGCCCTCAGACGTCGGGCGAGGCAGAGCCAGCCCTCGGGAGTCAACCGAGGCAGAGCCAACCCTCGTGAGTCGGGCGAGGCGAAGCCCGCGGCCACAGCGCCCACTGAGGCGGAGCCAACCCTCAGGGGTCAGACGAGACAGGGCCCACGACCTCGGTGGCCGAACGAGGCGGAGCCCGGCGAGAGGCGTAGCCGCGCTCTTGAACGCGCGGACGAATCAATATTGATGGTCATTAGCTCCTCCTCTTCGGGTACCCTAGTATTGGTCCCCGACACTCCTGCTTCCATGGCACCTTCCTTCACGCAGACTATAGTTTTGGAGCTCAATGGCATCCCTAAAGACCAGCTGGTAATGGTGAAACCAATACCAAGTTTGCATTTGCTTGCAATCTCTCCATCAGCACTTGTGACATTGACAAACATCATGGTGCCGCCCTCTGTGACACTTAAGCTCCGTGTCACAAATGGGTGAGCCCTGCCGAACTCAGAGTGAGTGGGATTGCCTTTAGAGGCTCCACAGGCAATTCAGCGTATTGTAGCTGGGAACCATCATCAAAGACGTCACAGAACAAGATGCCCCTGTGGTAGTCAATCCAGCACAGGTTGCCTTCAAAGGAGACGACCTTGTCAGTTGTCCACCAACACAGCCCATGGTCCTTATCGCCACCTTGGCAGATCAGGATTCGCTTGACCTCCCACTGCGGGGTTAGGGCATTGGAACGATACCTGAAGAGCTCGGCTTCCTTTGGCACAGAATTACCGTCGCCAGGTATGAGCACCTTGAGGTCTACAATAGCGAAATCCTCGCCACGACGCAGGAGACCTACGTCTCTTACATCCAGCATGCGCGAAAGCTCAGCATGGCCCTGCACTGCCATCCGCCGCTCGTCTTTGTAACACGGAGGGAGGGCCAAAGATTGACATACCAGAGGGACCTGCCTTGCAGACAAAGTAGTCCGTGTGGCAGCACCAGGAGTGGAATGCGTTGATGGGGCTGGACGCTGGAGGGGGGGACGACGCGGAAGAGGACAGAGTCGAGGTGAGCCGCCACGAGCGCGGTCCCGTTGAACATCTTGACTTCCCTCGAGTAATGAAGGCGGAGATGAGACGCCCCTGGTGGCGCGACGAGGCGCAAGGATATGAGAATGTCGTCGCCGTTGGAGGCACGGAATCTCGCTGATGGTGTCTCAGGGTCGTCCTCGCAGAAGGACTGGGGATCCTCGCGGTAGATGTGGGTGTCGAACATCACCCATGTAGGAAACGAGCGCCCCACGGGCGAAGCGGCTTTCGGCCGGCGAGGAAGACGCGATCGACTTGAGGGGCCCAACCTTGGCGATTCCACGGCTTTCACCGCCTGGCCAAAGAGCTGCGATCGATCCTTGGGGAGCCCCATGTGCGACTCTATGGCTTTCAACGGCCGGCCAAGTAACGGCTATCAGTCGATTCTCTCTAAGGTTTGTGGGCGACGGCGGTGAGGGAGGGGAAGAAGAACAGAAGAAGCTCGGGTTTGTGGGCGACGGCGGCGAGGGAGGGGAAGAAGACCCGAAGAAGAGGAGGCGGACGAGTACTAGTGGGAGGGTGGGGAATGCAAATTGGAAACGCTTCTAGGTCCGGTTTGTTTGGAATTTTGGATGGCTCCTCGGTCCTCTGGTCCTCCTTCCTGGAGAGATGAAAAGAATTATTATAAGTTGGGTCGCGCTAAAAAATTGTTGGGCCTCGGCCCGTTCCATGTTCTCGAACTAGGCCTGATTTAATTTCGAATCTGTTTTGGGAGAGCTTCACCTGTTTAAGAAAAAAAAAGCTTCACTGAGTTAGCTATATTTATTTCAGTTTCTTAGCTTCTACTGCAAAGAAAACAGAACACAAACTAAACAAGTAGAATTAAGAACTGTTTTTCTAAAAGTATATACTTTCACGTAGTACAATTTTCGTAGCACCTTGAATCATGTTTTTGATTCAGCTTTCTGCTTTTGTAAATAGATAGAAATAGAGAGACATTTTACAATTGTTCAAGAGAGATAAAAGAGAGATGGTAGGTTTCATAGTTGTTTTAACCAAATAACTTATAGTCTTTTCACAGCATATAGCTCACATTCAAATTTTCACAACTCATATCTGAACCAACCAGACCATTAGCTTCCTACACCTATTTGTCATGGATCTTAGCTTTAGATATAGAAAATGAAGTTTTCGGAGGAAATGATCAATTATGACCTTGGGGGGTCGTACTTTAAGCTTTTTTTGTTTTCCATGTGGATGAAAATAGAGACCTTTTACAACAGATTCAAGGGAGATGGCGCGAGAGAGAGAGAGAGGATAGATTTCATAATTGTTTTAACCAAACAGAATATATTTTTTCACAACACAAAGCTCATAGCAACTTTTTTCACAGTTCACAACTTACTACAGTTTTCACACCTCGTAAGTAAACTAAACTAAACAGACCATTAAAAATTTATAATTAATGTTTTAGATTATTATAATAATAATAACGTTAACTAAAAAATCTGTAAGTTTTTTTATTCAAAAGTTACATCATAACTCAATTAAGTTCAACAACGAGGCAAATCGTCTGCAACAAGGTCACTTACAAACTGAAGACCTCCGGTCGTTTAGAGCTCAGAGCCAGAAGATAGAACACAATGACCAACCAGCTAAACAGTCGGCCACCTTATTAGAACATCGGTTACAAATAGAAACATTACAATAAGAAATTTTTAAAACACATTAAGTCACGAACTTGACATACAAGGCATCCAACATCACGTTGATCGATTTCGCTCCCTCTCAGATCGTACAAGAGGCATAAGGCAACTCAGTGTTATCCAGCTCCAAGATAATGCGCGTCATGCCCATCTGTGAAGCATATAGAATGACACTAGAGCGGGTGCTGCATATTTGATATTTCCAGCCCCAGCAGCTAACACATCGTCATGCTTATCTCTAACAACAAAGCCCCAACCTCCTATTCTTGTCTTATGATCCTCTAGTGGTGGTTTCCATTTACTATCATCAGTTACCGCCTCCTGTATCACAGTCACATTAAGTTTCTCAAACTCCATTTGGAAATAACATGTGGAATTATGGATTTTAGCTGCACTCAACATTCTTCCTCCCTCATTAGCCTAAATTATAATCTTCAACTAAGTAATTTTATCGATAATCCAAATCATACTACAAGTCTCTCATGTTGAATTGTATCTAGTTAAATCAGATCTTGTGTGTTCCAAATTCAATAGGTGCCAACACGTCCTAACAAACTTGCATTTGAAAAAGAGATAGCTGTTATCCTCATCAAACCTTCTGCAAATGGGACATCTTGTATCTATGTCAATACCATGCCTTACCAAGTTTCTTCTTGTTGGCAAACTATTTGTGCCTTTAAAAGCTGACCACAAAGAGAATTGGGATAGATAAGCAATCTCCATGCTTGTCGACTCAACATAGCCATATTAAATAGGTGCAAGTCTCAGAAACCAAGGCCTCTCTTCTTTTTCGATCTAGAAAGTTTTTCCCAACTCAGCCATAGTGAAGTCAATGTCTTGGCGTCAAACCACTTCGGTTCATGGGCAGTGGCAGAGCGAGGATTTCAACCTTTGGCTATTCCCATATTCAAAAAAGAGTTAAATGCATGGGAGGTCCTTGAACTTGCCATGGAGTGCCATTTAGGTCCCTAAACTTTAAAAATGCATTTCCGGATACATAAACTTGTTGAATGATACACCGCAGGTCCATAGTTGCCTCGTGGTAGAAAATTATGCACTGAAACCCCTAAAAAATATGCCCACTAAACATATCAGTCCCCGACGGAGAAGACGAAGCTGCCGCTGCTGTTCGTGGCGATATTGGCGTCGCTGCTGGTCGTGTCGATCTGGCGCCACTCTAACGTGGTGCACTGCCCAGCGTGCTCCTCGTACCTGAAGTCCCCGCGGCAGGGCCTCTGTGACGCCTGTGCCTGCGACTGCGGCAGGGCCCTACACCTCCACACTCCTCCACGGTCCTAACAAATTACGCCTTCTCCGTGGAGCTCTGGGCGATCTACCGCGGCGACCTCATCTTCCTGCCCAGGGAGGCGTCTGCGCCCTCGGCGGTCTGGGGACACTCATCCTCTGTGTCATCGTCAGCAGGTCGATCGCGCTGCTCGACACCAACACCATGTGCCTCGTCGTGCTGGGCGTCGGGCGCCGGCCAGCACGCGAGCCAGGAGAACCTGTCGTCACCGTAGGACTACGGAGGGCACGGCACGCATGTTCCATCCACCGCGGGCGGCACCATCGCTGAAGCGTGCCGAGGTGAGGGGCAAGATCGTCGTCTGCGACGTGGTAGAACGGAACAACGACATACTGGCCAAGGGGCTTGTGGTGAAGCATGCTCAAGGTCAGGCCGCCGGTCACCGCGTACTAGCGTTCATTTCATTCAGCCTCAACCGACATATATATATATATATCCCAGTACAGGTTCTAGCCCCTGCTCAGCAGCCGCCGGCTCATGGAGCATCTCGGACACCGGTAGCACCCTGCGGACCTAGCGTGGTGATGTGCCCCCCGAGCGCCGTGCCCAGGTTGCCCTCCTTGTCCTCCATCTGCAGCGCTGCGTTGAAGGCTGCGTCGTCCACGCCGTGGTGCGTACCAGCTCGTACTTGTGTCCGCGCGGGACGTCCGTCACCAGCGCCGCCGCGCTGCCCACGCGGAAGATGCAGTTGATCACCGGCATGTGCTTGTTCTTGGCGAAGTACAAGTTCAGGCTCGTGTTCTTGCAGGGGCACAGCGCGCCTGAGCAGGGAGGAAGTTGGAGAGCAGCGCGGGTGGGAGGTGGTTCGGTTTAGGGGCTGATCTGTTCAGGGCGCATATTTTTCGGGGGGGTCAGTGCATAGTTTTCTGCCGCGTGGCAACTATAGACCCGCGGTGTATCATTCAACAAGTCTATGTACCCAGAAATACATTTTTAAAGTTTAGGGACCTAAATAGCACCCCACGACAAGTTTATGGACCTGTTATGCATTTAGTTATGCATTTAACTCTTCAAAAAACTCACCTTGCTTTGCTTGCCTATGCTCTGCCCGTCTACTTGCTTGTCTGGTGGACCGCCACTGCCAGCTCCAGCCTCTTGGCTGTCGGCGTCGTGCACGCAGGCGTAGCCTAGGCATGGATGCTGCGCTCACGTGCGCGCCCAACGCCCGCGCCGTGCAGCCCGCATCACTGGGAGCTCGACATGCCACCACCATGCCACGCCAGTCGACTAGGGTTAGAGATTTGGGAATGAGGATTGGGGAATTGTCTCGCACTCATGATTCGCCCACTCGCACGGTAAGGGAGTCTCCGAGTCGGGTTCGAGTTGTCAACTGGAGGGCAAGATGGCGCCAAGGTCCAGGTCAGAAGGTGCGGAGAGGCAGAATTTTTTATTTTTCAGCCTTTTTTTGAAAAATATTCACAAATAGACCCCTAGTGGTTTGATTTTTGTTTATGGATCCTGACATCGGTGCCATGGCTTTAGGCGCCGAGGAAACACGTCTCGGCGCCATGGCCAATGACGCCGAGATCTTGGTGATGCGTCGGACGTGGCGGTGATCTGGCGCCGACGTGGACAAGGCATCAGCGCCGTAGATCTTGGCGTTTGAAATGAAACAAGTATAATTGTTCCGAGAAACATACAACAACGTCTTTGTGGTTCAGCTGGTTAGGATGTGCGCGACTTGGCTCAAAGGACTGGGTTCGAACCCCAGCGCTGAATCTTTTTTTGCTACATTTTTATAAGCATTTTTAACGTAAAATTTGGGAATTGCAATGCGACAGAAATTTTATCTGTTATACAGAATTAGCAATATGACACAAGATATCCAGGTTACATTATGTCACAATGAAGTAGAACAATAATATGACAGAAGCGATGTAAATTTATCACATGGGAAGGAAAGTTAAGTGAGTCATTAGTCAATCATTGTGAAATCTGCATTCAGTCTTAGAATCTCTTAGCTCTCAATCCTTTCAGCACCTACTTTACATTAGAGACAGAGAACTTCATAACAAAATGGGATGGCTACAGAGAATTCTTCCGAAGATAACATAATCGCATTTCAGATTCCACAAAAATATTATGCACTCAAGTTTAAGACAATGGATAGGCAAGGAAAGGAACCTGATATGTTAAAAAAAAGGAAAGGAAAACTGAGAATTAGTAAGAACAAATCTAAGTGCCCACAGATCTTGTTGCAGAGTGATTAATGAAATTGAAAGGAGGCTGTTCAGAGTTCACAGCTTTTTGTTACGCAAGCCCTGTATCAGTGTTAAATTTCAGTGAGAGGCGTAACGTAAAATTTGGTGATTGCAATGCACATAAATTTTAAACTATTATAAATTTTACCGGGGAATTAAGTTGATGAGCCATACTACGAAG